GGGGGTGATGGTTGGCTGAAATCTATCCATATTCTGTTTGTCAAATGTGCCCCTTGGCATGGGCCTACCTCTGTCTGAAGGAGTGGGCACCTTTAAAAAATTTGCACAAGGTACTATATGGGCTAGTGGTGGCCCTAAATTCACCACCGCCTTTTGAGGTCACTTTTTTTTTTTTTTTTTAACTTCTGTAAGAAATCAATAATCAGGAAAGTTACTCCACTTTCCTAATTTCCTGATTTCTTATACCTATGTTACAATGACTTACATTCCCTGGTTGTTTTCTTCCTTATTTCATGAATACACTTATCTCAGCCCTCCAAAAAAGCAGCACTGTGCTTAACTGAAAACATTAAAAGCACTCCCCACCCTGTAAATGCAGGAAAAATACAAAAATTTATCACCAAATATGAATTAACTTGTTTTTCCCATGGAAGCTACTAACTAATCCTACAGAGAAAAAAAGATCTAAGAATTAAATAAAATATAACATTTTCATTGTTTACGAATGAGAAAATGACCTGGAAGATTCAAGAACTTTGGTTGAGTAAATATTATAAACAATACACTCGTGGGGTGACTGTATTAGCCTGTTTTCATACTGCTTTAAAGAACTACCCAAGACTGGGTAATTTATAAAGGAAAGAGATTTAATTGACTCACAGTTCAGCATCGCTGGGGAGGCCTCAGGAAACTTACAGGTGGAAGGTGAAGGGGAAGCAAGGTACCTTCTTCACAAAGTGGCGTGAAGGAGAAGTGCCGAGCAAAGTGGAAGAGCCCCTTATAAAACCATCAGATCTTGTGAGAACTCACTATCACAAGAACAGCATGGGGGAAACTGCCTTCATGAACCAATTACCTCCACCTGGTCCCTCCCTTTAAATGTGGGGACTGTGGTGATTACAATTCAAGATGAAATGTGGATGGGGACACAAAGTCTAGGTATATCAGTGACTGAATACAAAATTTATATATAGAAAATAAATAACATTTACATAGAAAAACAAAAACTAGTGAGAAAGTGTGATGAAAGCGCTATCCTAATTTAGTATAAAACATAAAAAGATGAAATGCAGAGGAATATATTTAATAAGAAATGTGCATGAAATTTATGAAGAAAACTTAAAAATATTGAGGGACATAAATGAACAAATGATAAGGAATATGGTATTCCTGGATTGGAAAACTTAACAACATAGGCATGCCAATTCTTTCTGACTTTTTTTTTTTTTTTTTTTGAGACAAGAGTCTTGCTCTCTTGCCCAGGCTGGAGTGCAGTGGTGTGGTCTTGGCTCACTGCAACCTCTGCCTCCTGAGTTCAAGTGATTCTCCTGCCTCAGCCTCTCAAGTAGCTGGGATTACAGGCACACACCACCACAGCACAGCTGGCTGATTTTTGTAGTTTTAGTAGAGACGGGATTTCACCATGCTGGCCAGGCTTGTCTCGAACTCCTGACCTCAGGTGATCTGCCTGCCTTGGCCTCCCAAAGTGCTGGGATTACAGGTGTGAGCCACCATGCCCGGTCTTCTTTCTAACAAACATGATCACAGATTATTTTTGTTGTTGTTCTGGTGCTAGGCAACCTGACTGTGGAAAATCAAATAAACAAAGAGAGCAAAGACTTCTTTTTCTGGTCTTCACTGAAGGACTTGTATTGGTCCAGCTTTGCAGAGAAAAACAACTGTAAATGCTGAGCAAAATTTACAAAACTGTAGTTTAAGACATGGGAGAGTGACAAAACAGGCAGACTAAAGGGGCTGGAAGCTTGAGAGAAGGGAAGCATGTGAGGTGAGCTCTACATTCCTCCAGGGTTTCTCCCTGAGAGTATTTTCCAATTTGTGACCTAGAAGCAGAGTCCAAGCTGAAAGTGGAAATCCTACAATGTGGAGAAGATGCAGGTCAGAGTTAATTACTGCCAGAGTCTTTGGGACTTGAGGGACAGAATCCCAGAGAAGAACAAATTGCTGATAAATAAGCCAAACTCTGCGTACATATTGCCCTCAAATGATTGACCAATTCTTCAATTGCTTCAGGAAGTCCAGAAGAAAATGACACCAGGGAGGCTGAAGAGCAGAGCAGAGATTTCACAGTGGCTGTAGCAGTACTATTGGAGAAAGAGTATAAGCAAAGACTGCAGAATTGGGAAAAGAGAGAATGGGTTTCAAGCCCTGCCAAGGTGGAGGGTGTTGGAGGCTGAAAGAATGAGGGTCGTGATCAACTCAGTATACCACTGGAGGCTATATGAGTAAACAGCAAAGTGTTCTCATGAATGCAGGATGTTGGCAAGCTGACCACTATGTCGGCGCCCAGAAGGAATGCTGAGGGCAGTCACACCCCAGGCGCAGTGTTTCTTGTGATTAGGCACATCTGAGGCCTGTTAGCAATGATGTGAACCTGTGATCAATCAAACAGCTGACCAATCATTACCTCCTTCTCCCTGCTCTTTCTACCCAATAAATATGAAGGGTTGTAGAAGCTCAGGGCTGCCTTTGCTCACTAGAAGCAAGGAGTTCCCTGACCCCTTCTTTAAAACAAATCCTTTTTTCTTTGTCTTCATTTCTGTGTTTGTCCTCCTTCGTTCAGTCCTGTAGTAACTGTCACAAGAGGGAATTGGTAAACACTGTAGGCTTTCAGTTGAGACCCCTAAAAGACTGCTCAACAGTAAGGATCACATTGTATGAGTAAGGTTAATGTCTTGGAAATAGGGTGAAACTGAAATAAATCAGCCCTGAGAAAGCCCAAAGCTAGCAATGGCAAACTATTTTCCAAAGATGGCCACAATACTATGACTCCCATCTTACATGTGCTTCTAGAATCTTGCCATTGCATCAAGAGATGAGTCTATATTTCTTTCTCTTGAACCTGGGTATCCCTTTGTGATTGCTCCAATAGAGTATGGCAGGAGTAAGTAAAGATGCCATGTATATCCACTGCATTCTCTTGGGATGCTTGCTCTTGAAACTCAGCCACCATGCTATGAGGAAGCCCAAGCAGCTTGTGGGAAGGAAGTGAGGCCTCTAGTCCATAGCCCTTGTTGAGTTTCCAGGTGATGGCTGGTGCCAGCTGGCCAGTCATGTGAGTGACCATCTTGAAGTGGACCCTCCAGCTGAGCTGACCCAGATGATGTTGAGTAGAGAGGAAAAGAATGATTCCTGCTGAATCCTACCCAAATTGCAGATTCATTAATAAAATATTATTTTTCAATTTTGGGGGTTGTTTCTTATGTAATAATAGATAGCTAAAACATCAAGCCTTGACAGGATTAAGTGATCTCCTAGTATTTCATTTGCCTTTCTGGAAAAAAACCCATCCCTTTGGGGAAAGATAACATTCATAGCCTCTATAATTTTTCATCCACATGTCTGAAATCTGGTAATTACATGCCATGCTAAAAGTAGAGCTGATGATAAACAAGAGGAAAACAAATGACAACAAAAATACACCCAGGTGGTTCAGATATTGGAATATCAGACTGGGATTTTAAAAATAATTGTAATCACTATGTTCAAGAAAATAGAAAGTTGGAGAATTTCACCAGAGAGTTGGAATTTATAAATAACAGTCAAAAGGAAATACAACCACTTTGGAGAGCAATTCTGTAAGATCTAAAAAGATTGAAGAAACACATCTGATGACCCAAAATTCTGCTTCTAGATGTCCACCTTAGAGAAACTCTCAGAATCGTGCAAGGAGATATATACAAAATGCTGGCTGCAGTGCAGTTTGCAATAGCTGAAAACTGGAAACAGCCTAACTATCTCTAAGCAGAGAAATGAATGAACTGTGGCTTATTCATGCAATGGAACATAGAAGAGCCTTCAAATGTGTGCTCATGTATCCACATGGATAAATCCCCCAACATAATGTTGATTGAGGAAAAGCATGTAATGTGAGTCATTCATGAAAAGGCTTAAAACTGGAAACAGTAGTATACACACATATGATTAAAAAGTACAAAATATGCAGGGAAACAATTAAATATACTCTGAATAATAGTTACCTTTGGGGAGGGAAGAAGAAAGAAGGATTGGGTGGGGCTTGAAGTGCATCCGTAATGTTTTATTTCTATTAAGAAGAAAGATAAACCTGAAGTAAATATTGCAAAATATTCACATCTGTTGAATCTTGTGATAGTGTACATGGTTGTCTGTACTCATTTGTATGCTGGGAATATTTCATAATTTTTTAAAAAGCATGCCAAAATATGTTTTTTTAAATAAAGAAAAATGCTAACATTTTTACTAGCACGTTTTTTGATGGCAGCAATTCCAATCCAAGACTCTGGCTTCCTGCTTTTCTTCCCTAGTTCCTTCCTTGAGCATTTACTGTTTGTGTACTATGCTCTAGGCATTAGGCTGGCGCTGGGGATACAGAGATTTTCAAACTTGTTCTCTAACAGTTGTTGAGGGGGACAGTGATGAAGGAACCAGCTTGTTCCAGTGCATAAGCTACTCAATCAAGTAGTGCTGTGGACCCAGCCAGGATCAGGCCGAATCACCGTCCAGCTTCCTGAGAGGCTCAGAGCCCACAGGTCTTTGATATTTCTAGTGAGCATTTTAGTGGGAGTTGTTGCAGATAATGTCAGGGCTCACCCAAATTTTCAGTATGCTCCAAAAGACTTGCACTTGCTGGTGCTCTCATCTCTGTTACCAGAAGCTTCCCTTCCATCTTGGGCCCCTCACTCACACCCCTGAAGCCATTTTACCCATGAATGACGCTGGGAGCTGGTCTACAAATGCCCCGGATCCTTTGCCCTTAGCAGGGGATAAGTCTGAGGCACACTGCCTCCCAGAATCCTCACAGTGATATCCATGCACTTTCCCTTCCTTGTCTCAAGTCCTCACCCCCTCCCCAATAAAATACTTGCACTTGAATCTTCATCATGGAGTCTGCTCCTGGGGAGTGCAGACTAAGAAGGCAAGATGAAAAGGACCTGCCAAGGAAGTCTCAAATTCAAGGAGAGGTTTTCATGGGGTGGAGCCATGGGTCCTGGCTAACTTACAACATCAGCAGGATGGCTGGGATGATCAGGCCTGGATTGGCGAGGAAAGCAAAGATCTTGCCCAGGAAGGTTGGGAAATCATTTTCAATGGTCTCTTGGAGGACGTCATACATTCTGTTTTTCCCACTGGAAAAAGGAGAGGACACATGATAACATGCTGCCAAGTGCCTGTGGCATTCACAACTGTATCCATGCCCCCTCAACCAGGTCCAGGACTGCTGCTTGCCACTGCTTTCCTGGAAGAACCAGAGCTCTGCTCCAAATGAACTGCAAGTAAAAAATTCCCCTTGAGGGGCTGCCATTCTGGCTAGGGTGACAGCTGGGTCGGCACATGGGTCACCAGCTTTCTATCCTAAGTAACTTACAACCTCTCAGTCTTCACTGGTCTTTTGTGTCTGACACCTTCCTCAGCCAGAAAAAAATGGTTTTCTTCTCATATACTCTAACTGGAGAAATTGCCTGTGTTTTAGCTACCAGACCAACATGGAGCTTCCTTTGGGCCTGGAAACAGTTCTGCAGAAGCTGATGTGCTGGATAACCTGAGTGTCTCTCAGAAATACCTAGAATTAACCTACAGATTTTAAGTCTAGGAGATATTGGATCACCTAGGACAGGCTCCTGGACAGTTCGCAACTATAATTTTTATTTTCTTCAAATACTTAACCATTATGCAGATTTACTTCTACGAATGCTGGCCGAGAGCCTCCTGGATGCTACTGGCTCTTGGTTGGTAATTTTGGTGCCAAGAGGTGGAATATGGAGTTTGAAATTCCTGGTTTAAATCTTTGCTCCCCCATTTATCACTTGTGAGACATGTGGACAATTTCTCTCTCTCTCTCTGTTTTTTTTTGTTTTTTTTTTTTTGAGATGGAGTCTTACTCTGTCACCCAGGCTGGAGTGCAGTGGTGCAATTTCAGCTCACTGCAACCTCCACCTGCGGGTTCAAGCAATTCTCCTGCCTCAGCCTCTCGAGTAACTGGGATTACAGGTGAGCGCCACCACGTCCGCCTAGTTTTTTGAATTTTTAGTAGAGATGATGTTTCACCATGTTGGCCAGGCTGATCTCGAACTTCTGACCTCAAATGATCCGCCCTCCTCGGCCTCCCAAAATGCTGGGATTACAGGCGTGAACCACCGTGCCCGGCCTGACATTTATTCTCTTTTTGCTTCATATCCTGCCCTGGTTCTTCCCACGAAAGCTGTGCTGTCTGATGTGGCTATTAAAAATACAAATTAAGATGAAGTAAAATTTAAAATTCGGTTTCTTAGTTACACATTTCAAGTGCTCAGTAGTCATATGATTAGTAGCTGCTCTGTTAGAAATGCAGATATGTAATGTTTTCATCATTATAGTACGTTTTGTTGGATGTCCAATATCTGCAGAAGTTCAATACCTTTGGGCAAGATATTGAAAACTTCTCTGCCCCAGTTTCCTCATCTGTATAATGTAATATAATAATACTATAGTATAATATGGTATTTTAAGTATAATAATTGTATTTATCTCAGAAGATTGTTTAGAGGATATAGATGAGAATTGATACAAAACATTGAGTATGGTGCTGTTAAGTTATAAGTGCCCTTTGACATTTTGCAGCTAAACATTTTCTGTGTAAAGTATAGATGAGGAGTTGACCAACAATGGCTCCTGGACAAATTCAGCTTGTTACCC